TGACTTGATCCTGGTAGGATTGAGAAGGTGCGAGAGGAGGTCTGGGAGCCTACGGCCAGAAGCTCGGCAGCGCCTTAGCTATGAGCAGTGCCCTCGGGTTAAACTCCTAAGCGGCTCCACAGCACAGAGCTGGGATAGAGGCTAAAATAGCCACAGCCACTCACCTTGGGCTCCGGAAGAAGGAGGGCAGACTGGACTGGAACTGTGTGGGGACACTCGGGATTTGGAGGGCGCTCAGAGCTTTTGCTGATTTGCAGCCACGAAGGATGGTGGCTATCTTGCTCCTTCCCAGGGCTCTGGGGAGAGGCAGTAACCCCTCCCTTGGAGACTCAACCCCACCCTCTGGGCGATTGAAATGCAAATTGAGGCTCACTAACAACCAGCATCTGCCCCACCCTCGGGAAATCCCCTTATGCTGAGCACCTGAGGGAAGTTTTTCAATCAACTGACAACCCAAAACTCTTCAAGTAACCTGGACTGCTAGCCTCCAGGCAAAGCGCTAGAGAATAACAGTACCATTCCTGGGCTAGCAACTCTAACCAGGAAAGTAAGACTTGACAGTGGTGTTTAATGTGGGTCCTTCCTCGCTCATCTAAACCCAAGAGAGGGAGCCACAAACAGCAGAACAACAACACCCACAGGGAAAACTTGGCAGGCTCCAAAGCCCACTGTGATAGCCAAAATGCTGAAACACAGAAACAAAAGCCAAATAAAACCCCAACAGACAGCCACCAAAGATGATATCGATGTGGAACAGTTAGGCATGTTAAGAGAGCTAGAATTCAGAGCCATGATCTTGAGGAAGCTCAACAGCTTGAGTAAGGACATAGAGATGGTGAAAATAAACCAATTGGAAATTAAAAACCACCAGGAAGATATCAAGAGGGACATATCACAAATAAAGAACACATTGGAAGGTCTAAAGAGCAGAGTAAAGGAAGCTGAGGACCGGATCAGCGAATTAGAAGACAAGGTAGAAAAAATCAATCAGAAAACCAAAAGGAAAAAACGATTAAAAAACAGAAAGACAGCTTAAGAGAACTGTGGGACAAATGGAAACGTAATAACATTCGCATCATAGGAGTACCCGAAGAAGAAGAAAATGAACAAGGGTTAGAGAATATATTCAAAGAAATACTGACAGAAAACTTCCCTAATATGGTAAAGGAAGAAGTCATTCAAGTTCAAGAAGCACAGAGAGCCCCAAGTAAGAAGAACCCAAACAGGCCCACACCAAGACACATAGTATTTAAAATGCCAAAAATTAAAGACAAAGAAAGAATCCTAAAAGCAGCGAGAGATAAGCAACAGGTTACCTACAAAGGAAGCCTCATAAGGGTCTCAGTGTTTCTTCACAAGAAACACTACAGGCCAGAAGGGAATGGCATGAAGTAATCAAGGTCATGAAAAACAAGGATCTGAATCCAAGACTACTCTACCCAGCAAGGTTGTCATTCAAAATAGAAGGTCAAATACAGAGCTTCCCAGACAAAAAACAGGCTAAGGGAATACATAAGCACCAAACCAGCACTACAAGAAATGTTAAAAGGACTGCTGTAATTAGTAAAAGAAAAATACAACCAAATCAAACAAAAATGACAAATAAGTACATATCAATAATCGCCTTAAATGTAAATGGACTGAATGCTCCGATAAAAAGACACAGAGTAGCTGATTGGATAAAAAAGCATGACTCATCTATATGTGCTTTACAAGAGACCCACCTCACAACAAAAGACTCACATAGGTTGAACACACATAGGTTGAAAGTGAAGAAATGGAAAAAAATGTTCCAAGCAAACAGAAAGGAAAAATGTGTTGGGGTAGCAATACTCATATAGAATAAAATAGATTTCAAAATGAAGACCATAACTAGAGACAAAGAAGACCACTATATAATATTGAAAGGATCTATCCAACAGGAAGATATAACCTTGATAAACATATATGTACCCAATATAGGAGCACCAAAATATATTAAAAATCTTCTGGAGGACTTCAAAGGAGAAATTGACAGCAATACAATCATAGCAGGGGACTTCAACACCCCGTTGACACCACTGGATAGATCCTCTAAACAAAAAATTAGCAAGAAAACACAGACTCTAAATGAAGCACTAGACCAAATGGATTTAATAAATATCTACAGAGAATTACACCCCAAAACTACAGAATTCACATTCTTCTCAAGTGCACATGGGACATTCTCAAAGATAGACCAAATGACAGGACACAAACTAAATCTTTACAAGTTCAAGAAGATTGAAATCATATCAAGCATCTTCTCAGATCACAATGGCATGAAACTAGAAATCAATTGAAACAAAAACATGCAAAGACATTTGAACACATGGAGGCTAAATAGCATGTTATTAAACAATGAATGGGTTACCGAGGAGATCAAGGAAGAAATTAAAAACTTCCTGGAAACCAATGAAAATGAACACACAACAACACAAAATCTATCGGATGCAGCAAAAGCAGTTCTGAGAGCAAGTTCATAGCACTACAGGCCTACCTCAAAAAACAAGAAAAATTTCTAATTGACTGTCTAACCTCACAACTTAAAGAATTAGAAAGCAAACAAAAAGAAAACCCCAGAGCAAGTAGAAGGAAGGAAATAGTAAAGATCAGAGCAGAAATAAATGACAGAGACCAAAAAAAAAAACAAAAAACAAAAAAAATCAAAGGATCAATGAAACAAAGAGCTGTTTTTTGAAAAGATAAACAAGATTGATGGACCCTTAGCTAGACTCACCAAGAAACAAAGAGAGAGAACCCAAATGCACAAAATCAGAAATGAAAGAGGAGAAGTAACAACTGACATCACAGAAATACAAAAGATCTTTAACAGCTACTATGAACAATTATATGGCAACAAATTTGACAATCTAAGCAAAATGGACACATTTCTAGAAACACACAGTCTCACAAAACTGGACCGAGAAGAGATAGAAAACTTGAACAGACCAATAACAACTAAGAAAATTGAAGAGGTAATCAACACTTTCCCAGCAAACAAAAGCCCAGGCCCAGATAGCTTCACGGGGGAGTTTTACCGAACATTCAAAAAACAACTAACACCCATTCTCCTCAAACTATTTCAAAAAATTCAAAAAGAAGGAAGACTTCCAAACTCGTTCTATGAGGCCAGCATAATTCTAATTCCAAAATCAGAAAAAGACACTAAAAAGAAAGAAAACTGCAGGCCAATATCCCTGAAGAACATTGACGACAAAATCCTGAACAAAATACTAGCAAATCGGATCCAGTAACACATCAAAAAAATTATTCACCATTCATCCCAGGGATGCAAGGCCAGTACAATATTCGCAAATCAATAAATGTGATACACCACATAAACAAAATGAAGAATAAAAACCAAATGATCCTATCAATAGACGCTGCAAAAGCATTTGACAAAATCCAGCATCCATTTCTGATAAAAACGCTCAGCAGTGTGGGAATAGAGGGATCATATCTCGACATAATAAAGGCCATATATGAAAGACCTACAACCAACATCATACTCAATGGGCAAAAACTAAAAACATTTCCCTTAAGAACAGGAACAAGACAAGGATGTCCACTTTCACCTCTCTTATTTAACATTGTACTGGAAGTCTTAGCCACAGCAATCAGACATGAAGAAAAAATAAAAGGGATCCAAATTAGAAAGGAGGAAGTGAAACTGTCATTATTTGCAGATGACATGATATTATACATAGAAAACCCTAAAGACTCCATCAAAAATCTACTAAACTTAATAAATGAATTTGACAAAGTAGCAGGATACAAAATTGACGTCAAGAAATCGACGGCATTCTTGTACATCAATGATGAACTCACAGAAAGAGAAACTGAAAAAACAATCCCATTTATCATCACGCCAAAAAATTTAAGATACCTAGGAATAAACTTAACCAAAGAAGTAAAGAACCTATTTGCAGAAAACTACAGGACATTGAAAAAAGAAATAGAGGAAGATATAAAAAAGTGGAAGCACATACCCTGTTCATGGATTGGAAGAATTAACATCATTAAAATGTCCATATTACCCAAAGCAATCTATAGATTCAATGCAATCCCCATCAAAATAACAACGACATACTTCACAGAACTAGAACAAATACTTCAAAAGTTCATATGGAACCAAAAAAGACCCCGAATAGCCACAGCAATTTTGAAAAAGAAGGACAAAGTAGGTGGGATCACAATACCAGATATCAGGTTATATTACAAAGCTACTGTAATCAAAACAGCCTGGTACTGGCACAAGAACAGGCATATAGACCAGTGGAACAGAATAGAGAACTCAGAAATGGACCCAAGGCAATATGCTCAATTAATATTTGAGAAAGGTGGCAAGAGCATACAGTGGAATAAAGACAGCATCTTTAATAAATGGTGTTGGGAAAATTGGACAGCTACATGCAAAAAAATGAAACTAGACCATCAACTTACACCATACACAAAAATAAACTCAAAATGCATAAGACTTAAATGTGACCCATGAATCCATAAAAATTCTAGAAGAAAATGCTGCATTCAAAAGTGTCTCCCCCTGGCCGGTTTGGCTCAGTGGTTAGAGCATCCGACTTCGGTCCAGAGAGACCGGGTTCGGTTCCCGCTAGGGGCATGTACCTCGGTTGCAGTTTGTCCCCGGCCCTGGTTGGTCGTGTGGGTGGCAGCCACTCGATGTGTCCCTTTCACGTCGATGTTTCCCTCTCTCTCTCTTTTCCTCTCTCTCCCTCCCACTCTATCTGTGCAAAAAAAAAAAAAAAGTGTCTCTATGTCGGCCTGCGGTCCTGAGAGATCCCGGTTCGGTTCCCGCTAAGAGCGCATACCTCGGTTGCAGTTTGTCCCCGGCCCTGGTAAGTCGTGCGGGTGGCAGCCACTCGATGTGTTCCTTTCCATCGATGTTTCCCTCTCTCTCTCTGTTCCTCTCTCTCCCTCCCACTCTATCTGAACAAAAAATGGAAAAATGTTCTCGGGTGAGGATAAAAAAAAAACAAAAAAACAAACAGCAAAAAAAAACAAGTGTCTCTAACTTTTCCCAGTTGAATTACAATGTGTCTTGGAGTGGGTTTCTTTGAGTTCATCTTGTTTGGAACTCTGTGCTTCCTGGACCTGGAAAGATTAGGAAAGTTTTTAGTCATTATTTCTTCAAATACAGCACTCTAAATATTATTACAGACTTTTTATGCCTGTAGTTTGCATAATATCTTTTTCCATCCTTTTACTTTCATTGGCCAATAACTGGGCTTTATTTTTTTTCATTTTTTCTCTGCTTTTTAATTGGAATGCTTAGTCCAATCACATTTTTTAGTCATTACATTTGCATGTAATTACTGATATGGTTGGACTCCCATTTAATATTTGCTATTTATTTTCTCTTTGTTCCATCTTTTCATTCCTCTGTTCTTCCTTTCCGGTCCTTTTTTTAGGGAAGGAAAGTATTAATTGAATATTTTTTAGAATCTCATTTTTATTTATTGTCTTTTTAGCTATATTTCTTTGCATTTTTTTTTTTTATCCTCACCCGAGGACACTTTTTCTTTTTTTTTTTTTGTTCAGATAGAGTGGGAGGGACAAAGAGAGAGAGAGAGAGAAACATCAACGTGAAAGGGACACATCGAGTGGCTGCCACCCGCACGACCAACCAGGACCGGGGACAAACTGCAACCGAGTTATATGCCCTTAGCAGGAACCGAACCCGGGGTATATTCCCTTAGCAGGAACTGAACCCGGGTCTCTCTGGACCGCAGGCTGACTCTCTAACCGCTGAGCCAAACCGGCCAGGGCTCTTTACATCTTTTTAATGGTGGCTCTATGGATTATAATATCCATCCTCAACTCTTCACAAACTATTTAGGATGTTTTGAACCACATTATTTAAAATTTAAAAACCTTTCAACTATAAAGTTCCATATACCCCGTTGTCCTTTAGTTACATTTGTATATGTTAAACCTCACAATATAATTTTTTCCTTGGAACAGTCATATATATGGGGTTTTTTTGTTTTTATTCCTCACCTGAGGATACTTTTCCATCTATCATCAGATATAGTGGGAGAGAGGGAGAGAGACAACAGGGAGAAACATCAATGTGACAGAGCCACATCAACTGGTTGCCTCCTGCATGACCCAACCAGGGCCGGAGACGAATCACAACCAAGGTATGTGCCCTTGACCGGAATCAAACCTGCGACTCATTGGTCCATGAGCAAACCCGGCCAGGGCATATGTATATTTTTAATTAAACCAAGATAGTGTTTTATATTCACCCATTTGTTTATATTTGTTATTTATGGGAGGATTGGTCCAACATAAGCTATTCTGCTATTATAAGACAATAATGATTTGTCCTTAAGAACATTATCACTGTAATCACACTCTCCAAAGTTATACTGTCTTTGAAATGCAGTTTTGTACTAATATTATTCAGTAAGAAGGGCATTTTTCTCTTTACTAGTCCATATTTCCACTTTCCTGCCTCTAGTTTAAGCCATCTAAAACCACATCTTTATCTATAATTATGTATCTGGCCTCCTTTTCCTTTCTGTTAAAAATTGTGATTACATGAGCAATACCATATTAGAAATTAGAATAGCTCCTTTCTCAACAGAGAGAATGAGAAACTGCAAATCCACATGCCCAAAAGACTGAATAGGTACAAAAACCTAGTATTTATTTTTTAAGAAAATCTAAGCTCAAATTAATGTAAAAAGCATGTGTTATTTGTTGACTGCTATCACTGGAATGCAAGGTGCCATTATGTTCTTGCCCCGAGGAGTACAGGAAAACTGAAGAGTCCTGCTCTTTGCATTCTCTCAGTCTCTACATCATGCTTCACTTAAAAAAACCTTCTTACCCTTGTCTCTCTAAATGCTAAAATTTTCTCAGATTATTGTAATGAATTCAATTCTGCCCTCTAAAAACCTCTCTTCCCTCTACTTTGACATATCAGCAGTCTAATCTCCACTTCTTCAGTATTCAAGCCCTTGGGTCTCTGTTGCTGCCACCAGTGCACCAAAAGTACATTACTGCTTGATGGTTAATGGTTAAGAGTAGGAGCTCTGCCCTGGCCGGTTTTGCTCAGTGGTTAGAGCGTCGGCCTGCGGTCCAGAGAGACCCGGGTTCGGTTCCCGCTAAGGGCATGTACCTCGGTTGCAGTTTGTCCCCAGCCCTGGTGGGGTCATGTGGATGGCAACCACTCGATGTGTCCCTTTCACACTGATGTCTCTCTCTCTCTCTCTCTCTCTCTCTCTCTCTTCCTCTCTCTCCCTCCCACTCTATCTGAACAAAAAACGAAAAAATATCCTCGGGTGAGGATAAAAAAAAAAAAAAAGAGTAGGAGCTCTGTATCCTGAACTGGGTTCAAATTCTAATCCTCCCATTTACCTTGGAAAATTCATTTTGCCTCTCCCAACATCAGCTTCCTCCTTTATAAAATGAGGATAACAGCCCCACTTTGTTGAAAGTGTTCAGTGAAACTGGTCATTCCCTTCCTGAACAGAATTCCTTTGCCTTTCCTAACACCACTTTCCTGGTTTTTCTCTCATACCATCTGCTTCTCCTATCTCCTTTGTGGGCTCGTCTCACTTTCAATATTGGATTCTCAATTTTGGTCCCTCATCATTTTATTCCTGGCTTTCCTTGGACTACTCCCTTCAAATCTATGGTTTCAGCTATCACCCAAACCCAATTACTCCTGAATCTTTCAGATTTCACACCTGAAATCTAGCTACACAAGTGTCTAATGGCTATCAGCATTCAGGTGCCTCAAAATAAACATGTGTAAAACTGGACTCCACAACACTCAAACTTATTTCCCCAATGTTCCTCTTCTCTGATTTGTGTAACTCTTCCCAGCAATGGGTATCCATCCTAGTCTGTTCTTTTTTTTTTTTTATCCTTACCCGAGGATATTTTTCCATTTTTTTTTGTACAGATAGAGTGGGAGGGAGAGAGAGGAAGGGAGAGAGAGAGAGAAACATCGACGTGAAGGAACACATCGAGTGGCTGCCACCCGCACGACCAACCAGGGCCGGGGACAAACTGCAACCGAAGTACGTGCCCTTAGCGGGAACCGAACCCGGGTCTCTCCGGACCGCAGGCCGACGCTCTAACCGCTGAGCCAAACCGGCCAGGGCCATCCTAGTCTGTTCTTATCTGCCACTTCCAACCAGTTCCTGGTTTGTGTTGATTTTATCTCCTAAATCTCTCTCATACCTCCTTCCCCATCTCCATCTATCTTATGTCACATCCTCATTATTTCTCATCAAGACCTTTTCAGTCACAGGCACACTAGACTCCATACTGATACAGAAGTTAGCTTTCTCGGTTGCTCAGGGTACAAATCCCAGTTCTGTCACATACCAGCTGCATGGGCAAGGGTATTGCTTCTGTTATCTTATGTTTATTTCTGAGATATGAGAACTAAAGAGTTTTCTGCTCAGTCAGCTGCTACTTCAAAATCAAAACAGACCAGTCATAATATAAAGAACTGCAAACATATTTTTGTCTGGCAACAGGTCATTCCTCCACCTTCAAATTATGGTTATTAAAGGGCACTTTAAGTACAAAATGGGGACTGGCCCTGAAGCAAATTGCTAGAATACCATCCATCATGCCTGCAGCAGAGGCTGTGTTGGCATGAAGTAGGAACTTGGCATAAGGTTCATTCTTCAGTTTCAAATTTAGTTTAGAAATAAGTAAGGGAAAACTGTGATCACCGGTTCTTTTTAACAGTTTTTATTGTGATCTTTCTTTTTTTTTTTTTTTTTTTAACCTGAATAACAACTTTCCCCAAAGGGATGATGATACATAATCTTTATTCTAAAAAGGACATATAGATAACATACTGATATCATCTCATCAATGGTATCACTGATTGTCTTAAAATCCTTGATCAAGAAATTCTTCTGCCCTGGCCGGGTAGTTCAGTTGGTTAGGGCATTGTCCCACTACACCAAGGTTGCAGGTTTGATCCCTAGTCAGGACACATACAAAAATCAACCAATGGAAGCATAAATAAGTGGAACAACAAATTGATATTTTGATCTCTCCCTCCCTTCCTCTCTCTCTAAAATTAATCAATAAATAAAAATTTCTATAAAGTTCTTCCCTTTTTTTAATCCTTGGTACTGACAGCAGAGCACCCCTTCCCTCCTACTTCTTATCATACTGACATGATCTGGCTCTATACTCTGACCTCTCTCAAGAACATGATACAGGGACTGCTCTGGATTCCCTTGGGCAAATGCAACTAGGATACTTAACAGGCTCAGCTTTAGTTTAAAGAGATTTTTTCATTTTTTTTCTTTTAAATTAAGACTATTAGAGCTAAATTATAAATGCAAGATTTGTGTTTGCCTTGAATACTGATATGCCCCCACAGCCCGAGGATCACCTCAGTTAAGCCAAAGCTTTGCCATGGCAGGACTACTGAGCAAAGGTCTGTCTCCAACTTTCCTCCAAAAGGAAGGAGGTCAGTCAGCCAGGAGATAAAAGTTCTTTCAAAAGCAAACAGTGTCATATACCCTGTTGGCTCTCAGAGCTACATACATAAAGCCATAAGCCTTGCTCTCAATTCTTAAAGGACCTGTCTGACTAGATTCTATTTCCCAGGTGTGGTGATGGAGCCACTGGGTGGTTGCAGAGGTCTCAGGCTCCTCATGACCATCACAACACATGCTGGTACCCAAGGCATGTGCTGGCCTCCACTCTACCTATGTCATGTGACCTTTCTTAAAAAATTTTAATCCTCACCTGAGGTTATTTTTCCATTGATTTTTTTTAAAAGTGGAAGGGAAGGTGGGGGGGGGGGTAGAGAGAAACACTGATGTGAGAGAGACACATCAATTGGTTGCTTCCCACACAACTCTGATTGGAGCCAGGGATCAAAACTACAATCCAGAGACATGCCCTTGCCCAGGCATCGAACTGCAACCCTTTGGTCTACAAGTCGACACTCTAACTGCTGAGCCAAACTGGCCAAGGCTCATGTGACCTTTCTTAATCTGATAATATCATCGCCGGAGAAACCCCTACTCTGGGCTCATCCTACTCCAATTTTTCTCTTATTTGTGCTGGTGCTTCAGTTGGACGGGCTTCCACAGCAGTCTCCAGTTCCAGAGAAAGAGATGATGGCTTGAGTTCTGGGTTCCGTGATTCCAAAAGAAATCATTATTTTCACAGTTAAATTCAGGAAACCCCATATGTGGGACTGTGGTATATCTTTGCAGCTGTGAAGTTAGACCATAACTGAAGAAATAAAGCAACAGTCAAGATTGCCTTCAGTGACTCACTGAAAGAAATCTTGAGTTACCTGCACCGCGCCAACTTATGAAAAGGCAGTGAGAATTAAAGCAAGACTACATAATAGAAAGTACTATAATATATTTCTAAACTTGAATATTATAAACACCTAATGTACTAACCATCCAATTAAGCCTGCCAGTAACTGTTACCTAATACACAACTTGCCTTAAAGAAACAAGTGCTAATTTGGCCACCCTGAGACTTTTTTCCCCTTCTAGGCAACATTACATTGGACATGTTCTGAGTCTGAAAAGTGCAGTCTTCACTCAATACTGTAACCTCTTTGCTGGCACACATGGCTATACCTGCGAGGTCTTCATGGTGCTGTGGGTAACCTCCTACCTGAGGGGATCTTCCTGTATGTAGCCGCTGAAGACATTGCCTGTCCTAGAGCTTGATTAGAGCCCAGAGGTTGCTGGAAACTGGCAGCTTTGCTGGTTGTAGTCCGGTGCTTTGATTTGGGATCTTTAACTGGTTTAGTCCAGACCAGTGCCTCCCCAACTTGGAGAGCAGCTCCCAACTTCTGAGCCATCTCCACCATCTTGTGCCCACATGTGAAGAAAAAAAGAATCAAGGTGTGACTGGCAGAGACAAGCCTACCCGCCTCTTCCTAGGCCTTCCACCCGGGAGAGGGGGATTAGCTGAAATAGTGGCTAGCATTTGAGGGAGGAAGTACTTGTTGCAAGGGAATCTTTCTCAAACAGCATAAATCACAGACTGACCTTAGTGGATGACAGGGGAGTTCACACAGAATCTCAAACCTAACAATTCAAGTTTGGTGTGTTATCGGGGTAAACTCTACCTTTCCTATACAAGTGGGAGGAAGCTACAAAGAAACATAGGCCTCAACTCAAAGGAGTTGTATTATCAATAACAGATTCAATAAGGCTGAATTTTGTCTTACCATTTTCTTCTAGGAAAGTTTTTCTCTGGCTGTTACTAATTGAATAATTCATGCTGCCAGAAACATCAAAGGCAAAACAGGCTTGAGATTATACAGTAGGTTACATTTGGATTATTTGGGCTTGATTCAAAAGTTTGCTGCCCTGCCCTGGCCGGTTTGGCTCAGCGGTTGGAGCGTCGGCCTGCGGTACAGAGAGACCCAGGTTCGGTTCCCGCTAAGGGCACGTACCTCGGTTGCAGTTAGTCCCCGGCCCTGGTTGGTCGTGTGGGTGGCAGCCACTCGATGTGTCCCTTCACATCTATGTTTCTCTCTCTCTCTCTTCCTCTCTCTCCCTCCCGCTCTATCTGAACAAAAAGTGGAAAAATGTCCTCAGGTGAGGATAAAAAAATAAAAAAGAAAAAAAAGAAAAAGTTTGCTGCCCTGGCCGGTTTGGCTCAGCGGTAGAGTGTTGGCCTGTGGACCAATGAGTCACAGGTTCGATTCCGTCCAAGGGCAAGTACCTCAGTTTCGGTTCATCCCCAGCGGGTTGGGGTCGTGACAGAGGCAACCAGTCAATGTGTCCCTCTCACCTCAATGTTTCTGTCTCCCTTTCTCTCCCTCCCACTATATCTGAAGATAAACAGAAAAATATCCTCAGGTAAGGATTAAAAAAAAAAAAAAAAAAGTTTGCTGACAGTTTGCTTATGACTCCTGGGAGCTATAAAAGACATACCTCATGCCCTGGCCAGTGTGGTTCAATTCACTGAGCATTGTCCTGTACACCAGAAGGTAGTGGGTTCAATCCCCAGTAGGGACAAATGTGGGAGGCAACCAATCAATGTCTCCCTCCTCTTTCCTCTCCTCTCCTCCCCTTCCCAACCCTCCCCACTTATCCCCCTCCTCAGCTCCCCCCCACCAAAAGAAAAAAATCTATTAAAAAAAAAAAAAAAGACATACCTCAGAGTCGAATTCCAGAGAGCTACTATCTTTGAGTAGGCTGACCTTCTTCTCCATCTCCTGATACTGGGCCAGGGAGTCCCTCTTCTCGCCCTGGTTGTACAGCAACACAGCATAGTTCAGGTTGACCAAAGGGTTACACCTGTGGCAAACAGACAGGGATTCTATGAAGCTTAGCATTCACAACAAATGGTCATTTAAAGATTCTTATTACACACATACACACAAAAAACCTGATTATGAAGAGTGATTTCTCCATTCTGCAGCAAGGTAGTAACATACACACTGTGTGTGGATTTGTGTGTGTGTGTGGGGGGGGGAATCAAGGAATAATTGCCCAACCAGCAAAGCAGGTGTTGGAACCAAGTCTGACATCTCAGCCCTCAGAAGGGACCACCAAGGCGGACTGAAGAATTAATCCCTACCCTGCTGCCTAGCCAATGCCAGGGGAATAAATCCCAGGTCAAGTTTATCTTAGAGTAAACTGAACTGAGCTGCACCTGACATTCCAGCTAGCCCATGGCTATCAGCAACCCACTGCCAGCTCTGACTCTCTCTGGCCTCCTAACTACTAAACTTGGGGCTGGAAACACTTTCTCAGAGATTGCCAGTGTCAGTTCCTGCTGAGCCACTGCTTGCTTAGTATCACATCCTTCTGTACTTAGGCCTTGTGCACAAAGGCCATGGAGAGCAAGCATCTGCACTGACTCAGGCAAAGCTGGTGTTCTGGCGCCACCTCGTGGCTTTAAAGTGTGTGGCCCTCCCCAATACCGTTCCAAGGAGCAGCTTACTTATCCAGGCGAACTGCTTCAGCATAAGCTCTCTTGGCATTCTCTGTATCTTCCAGATTGGTCAGAGCCACTGCAACAAAGAAAGTGAGTATTGTGGCTGGAGAACCCAACTTAGAGAGCAGAAGGAATGTTTCAAGACCACAGTTCATTCAGCCCCCAACTTAACTGCTCCTTTGCCCTCTCAGCTCCTGGCACCACGATCTATTTGGTCACTCAGCTTAGTTACCTGTTGTCATCTTCAACAGTCCTCTCTCCACAGTCAATCAGTTGCCAAGTTATCTGAACACCATTTTTTGCTGTTTCTTTTCTGACACTGTCCAAGTTGTTTGGGGCTGTGGCAATGTCCCCATCTGTCTCCATCCACTTGCCACAATGCTGCTAGGTTTCTCACTGACTTACTTACAAACAAATCTCACCACATCACTATCCCACTTAAGAATGTTCACTGGTCCTCCATCACCCATAACCATGATATTTAAAATTTGTTTAGCACCAGGACATTCTCACTTTTTTAATCAGTATTTTCTGGAAGCCTCATCTATAACAGTAACAGAATGGCTCTGGAAGCCCTGCCTACTTCACTTCCCCATCAGCATGCACTCACTTCTACCAGACACTTAAGAGGGAATCTAGGCATACAGCGGGAAAACACGGCCTCAAGGATAAAATCTAATTTCTTTGCACTATAATTGCGGCCCTCCTTCATCTGACCCCAAACTATCTTTCCTGACTCATTTCCCACTATGATCTATAGCACTACTGCCCACCGACGGCAGGGCACAGTGTGCAGTTTCATGGTTGCATGCCTTTGTTCAGTGGCTCCTCGGCCATTCTGTACAACTGATGTCCAGCTTAGCCTTCAGAACAGTGTGATGACCCTCTCTACTTTAGGTTAGAATTGCTCCTTGTGCCTTACAGTGTGGCAATTTGTTTACATTCCTATCCCCCATAAGAACTAGGCTAGCTTTGCATTCAGGCAAACCCAAATAACTGCCATTTTATTTGCTTTTGTAACCTTTGTCTTATGAATAAAAATCCCACAATAATAACCAAAAAAAGCACCTGGAGACTAGTGTCAATGAAAACATGCAAACTGCTTGCGGGCTTACATTTAGTAAGTTGAGTATTTGGAGAAATATCCCCTAGAAAGAATATGTAGTCAGTACTTTTGTATTATAGTAACTAACAATAAAACCAATAATAGTTAATATTCATGGTTATTTAATCATGCAGTCCCCTCATCAACCTTATAAGATATATCTCTTATACACAATGATATCTGGAACTTAGCTGGGCTCAATACATATAAATAAATTGTCGAGCCAAAGAAAAACATTTGGAAAAAGATAAACTAAAGATGATCTTCATTTAATCTGTTGGTCTCTGAGTGAAATTCCCCCAAGTTAGAAGCAATCAAATGCTTTGTCATCTTTTTCTTCACTGTTTTTCAAGCTCAAGCACAGTAATCCAGATTCCTAGGGGATCTGCAATGGAACGGCTTCTATGGGACATTTAGTCATTGGCCTCCAGTGATTCTAATTAATTTTCCCCTTATTTATAGTCTATGGAAAGGGTTCTCCACATAATTGTCTCTTACCAGCCAAGAGCATATACAGCTCCCCCATCTTTGGCTGGAAGTTGATGGCTGCCCTGAGAAAATAAAAAGCTGACGCATACTGCTGCATGGTCAAGTGGACAAGGCCCAGATTATAGAGAATCTTCCAGTCAAAGGGTGCCAAGTAGTTGGCTCGTTTCAGGCAGCTGATAGCCTGCAGGAGAGAGGAGTACTTGATGAAGGTGGGGCAAGCTGGGCAAATCCAATAACACAAACAAGGAATATGAGGAGACACTCACTGCTACATATTTTTTCTTGCCAAAGAAACACATTCCAATGTTATTCCATAGTGGAGGACTTTCTGGAACAGCACAAGCTACAACTCTGTATTTGGTGAGGGCAACATCAAAGTCTCCATGGGTCTGCATCATGCTGCCTGCTGCCAAGATTGCCTGAAAACATAGGGCATGGAAAGCTGATAATTCAGTCATTCCCCAAAGGCCATATCAGTGAAGAGCCTTCCTGGGTGTAGATAATCTGCACAGCATGACTGAAAAGTTTCCAGGAACATATATAATATATTTAAGCTATTGGGACAACTGCTCATGAGACATGTCTCTGAACCCACACTGTTGCTCTCTTTGGCACAGTCCAGAAAAATAAAAGGTAAAATGTCATTGACTTTACCCAGCTCATTTGTTTCCTACTTCTAACCAGGGAAGGCAATATTTCTGAGCCCAGAGCCCTTTAAGTAAATACTGCCTTTGATCTGTTCCCTGCAGCCCGTACTTGGTACAACAAGGGCTGCTCCAGACAACTCAAACACTCCTTTCTTTGCCACGTAAGGTACAGCTCCTTCTGCCACAGGACAAAGGGTGACTCTGCTTTAGGCTTCATCAGTCCAGGTGTCAGGTGAGGAGCTAATGGAGTCAGACTAATGTGATTCCGAAACGACTGAGTCTGTATCCTTCACAGCCTGTTTTGCTGTGACAAATGACATTCATCCACTTGATGATCTTCTCATCCCTAAAGACATATCTGGACAAGAGTTGTAATTGCAAATTCATTAAGAATCTAGAAGTCATTTCACCAGAAGTATTTTTGATATTAGTTGAGGAGGCTTTGCTAATTTCCTAAACATATAAAACTTTACCAGCACTATAATTTTGCCTTCTGCATAAGTTACTGGCCTGTTATATATAACAAATGTGCTCTCGGAAAATAAAGAAGCAGAGCACCAACACTTTACAATATTTTCAAATAAGAAGAGACATGTTTATTTATAATTTTTCTAAGAAAAAGGTCATTTCTGAAGTATTCAAAGTGCTTTCTAGGGCCAGATCACCTCTAGGAGTGGGACCATCTATCTGAAAGCTCTGGGGTTTGACCGGCCTGCAGTACCTTGTAGTTCGTAGGGTCATAAGTCAGCGCATTTCCAAGGTGTTCAAATGCCTTCTGGTAAAAGCCAAGCTTGGAGAGAAAGCAAACCAGAGAATTCTATCAGTGAGGAGATGGCACTTAAGGAGTCTGGCCAATCAAATCCTGAAGCATCCTGACTTTCCTGAGTTCTCGACAAAACGAGAGCTCCAGACACCAGATAGAAAAAAAAAGAACTGCCCTGGCCAGTTTGGCTCAGCGGTTAAAGCGTCGGCCTGCGGTACAGAGAGACCCGGGTTCGGTTCCCGCTAAGGGCACGTACTTCGGTTGCAGTTTGTCCCCGGCCCTGGTTGGTCGTGCGGGTGGCAGCCACTCGATGTGTCCCTTCACGTCGATGTTTCTCTCTCTCTCTCTCCCTTCCTCTCTCTCCCTCCCACTCTATCTGTACAAAAAATGGAAAAATATCCTCGGGTGAGGATAAAAAAAAAAAAAAAGAAAGAAAAAAAAAGAACTAAAAATCCCACATTTGCACTGGCCGATTTGGCTCAGCGGTTAGAGCGTTGGCCTGCGGTCTGGAGAGACCCGGGTTCGGTTCCCGCTAAGGGCACGTACCTCGGTTGCAGTTTGTCCCCGGCCCTGGTTGGTCATGCGGGTGGCAACCACTCGATGTCTCTCTCTCTCTCTCTCTCTCTCTCTCCCTCCCACTCTATCTGAACAAAATATCAAAAAATGTCCTAGGGTGAGGATAAATAAATAAATAAATAATAAATAAATAAAAAATTTAAAAATCCCACATTTTCCCCCTAATAAAACCAAAGTATCTACTTGCCAGGGACCATCTCTGCCACACTAGTGTTGCTCCACACTAATGTCTCAGCAGGAAATGGGCTGGTTAGACACATCTCCCCTGGGGCCAACCTCCTAAGCCAAAGTCAGGAAGGCCAAGGGTTAAACTCCTAATTCCCTTTAAAGAAAAATGAAACAGACAGAAAAGCTACCAAAGAGGCAGAGCTGGAGGCAGAATCAGCTGAGCAGGGAACTTGGGGAGTTCATGGGGAATGGGACAGATAGAGGCCCCTCCAGGACCCGAGTCCCAGTTCTTAGGCTGATAAGAAGTAATTGAGCTAAAAGAACTTCATTCGCCCCCAGGAGTGTGGAAAGGAGAGGAGACAGACTTCTTATTCTAGACAATGCTTGGCCTTCTCTTTCCTATAGGACCTGGCTGGGAAGAACGAACAACAGAAATGGCCTTAACTCCAGAGTCCTGATAGTGTTTGTATCACAGTTTCTCTCCCCACACCAAAATGACAGCCCTCATGACAGTTATTTCTCATATATGCTCTTTCCTTTAAAAATTGTAATTGCAGCCCGGACAGTGTGGCTCAGTGAATTGAGTGTCGTCCCATGGACTGAGAGGTCCCGGTTCGATTCCCAGACAGGGTACATGCCAGGGTTGCAGGCTAGATCCCCAGTATGGGACGTGCAAGGAGGCAGCCGATTGATGTTGCTCCCTCACATTGATGTTTCTATCTCTCTCCCTGCCTCTCTCTCTCTCAAAAAATCAATAAAAACATTTTTAAAAATTATTAATTTCAGTTTTTATTTGAACACAGAAAATTAATTCCTTTAACAGATAAAGAACAGAATAATGTAGAGAGTAAGGTTCATGTGCTTCATACGACCTTTAGTAAAATATGTCAAAGTAAAAATAAAATGCAGAGAAACCACAATACACATAAATCCAAAAGTATTTCTTTTTTTCTTTAATCCTCACCCGAGGACATCCTTGCATTCATCTTCAGATAGAGTGGGAGGGAGCGAGGGCAAAGAGAGAGAGAGAAACATCGGGGCCGGAGACAAATTGCAACTGAGGTACGTGCCCCCTTAGTGGGAACTGAACCCGAGACTCTCCGGTCCGATGCTTTAATCGCTGAGCCAAACCGGCCAGGGCCCAAAAATATTTCTAACATGAATGCATGAATGAGTCAAGAATTCTCCTTACCTGTAAGTAGAGTAATCCTAAAGTTGTAAGAAGTTCTGTATTTTCTGGTGAGAACCTGCAACACAGAGATGCTCAGAAGGAAACAAGATGTGAATGAGACACTGAGGCACACGCACAGTAACATGTCCTCGTGTAACATCTGAAAGACAAGCTGTGCATCCCACTCCCCATGGAAATTTCCCAAGATGACTGGGAAACTGCCTTCAATAATATGTCATCTCAACCCTGGCTACAGGGAGGACTGCTCAACAAGAAAGAAATGGGACTTAGAATCCAGACTCCTTTTCAGGACCATTTCTTAGGGTCAATATCCTAAGACAGACCTTTAGAATGTTTTGTGTGACTGTCTTCATTATACTGGTAGAATTAAAGAACAATGCTTCATAAACCAAGTCAGTATGTAACACATATAGTTTAAACCAGTTCCCTTTTGGTGGGATTTCTTTTTTTTCTACTCTCACTGTACTCACAATGTGAGCTTACATAATTTTCTGTGTAATTTAGGATCCCAAGGGCCCTACTGTTCTGCTCTCCACATTAAACAAAAAGCCATAGCAAATAACCAACCTAAAGAAGGAAGGCATACCAACTCTAGGAAAGAACCGTTGGCTTTGTGAAGTAAACATTGGCTTAAGTAAAAGATTATCTGTACTGATTGTCTTTGTTACAAAACCAAAGCTACACTGAGCTGAGATGATCTGACTGCAGGATCATCAGATAGTTTCAACAGTAAAAATGCCAAAAGCAAGAAACAATGTCTCATGTTTCTAAGGAATGAGATAGGATGCTGGTTACCTATCGGGACACCAGAATCAGAGGGGCGCCAAAGCCCCAGCCAGAGAGACCTGAGCTGGCCAAATAATGCTTACTCAGTACAACTGAGAATTTGCCCTTCATTCTCTGCCATAATAAATATCCATTCCAATCCTCTCCCTCCTCCAAACTAAGTTAGTTCCATGATTCTGGCGGCATCCGTCCCCCCCACCGAAACATAGCTGCTCTCTCCAACCTGAGGGTCTCCACATTCTCAGTGAGGCTCCAAATGCTTAGCTGTCCCCTTGGAGATTTTGTGACTTAAGTACTCAACCAGCCACTGAAAGAATGTCACCCTTCAGATTTATGTGGGCTCATCTTCTAGAAGGCAAGTGTCATGAATAGAGGCTTCCAACCAGCCTCACAGAAGCTTGACATATGCTCTGTGGGCTCCTTCCTACTTGTCCACATAAACGTAACCACTTGATAACAAAAGACTCTCTTGTAATTTAACAAACAAAGGGATTTTTATATCTTTTTAGATACAATATGTGACTGAAGAAAATTCAGAAAGCTCTGTTGTGACTTATAGAAGCAGAAATGTTACTACATCACTACTATGGTAGAAGACAAAGGTAATTAACAAATTAAGTTTAATTCATATTCTAAATACCAGGAATACTAGCCTCTGTGACCAGGCATTCTATTAAGTGACCAAACAAACAAGACACTAAAGCATCTTTGCTACAGCCATCTAACTTAAAGCAAGATAAGACCCTATACAAAAAAGGCAAGAGAGCATTTGTCTCTAGAGAGAAGACATGGAACATCATCCTGAGAAAGCCAAGTCAGTCTATCATCAATAGGGGTTTGGCCTCTCCTATTGATGTTTAAAAAAAAAAAACAAGATACTGGTCTCATGCTAATAAGACCCTCCTCCCGAGCATGTGTGCCCTTGCAGTTGGTTGTGGTCACCTCACTAATTTCGAACCATAGAATGCGAGCAGGAACAACGTGTGCAACTTCTGCGCCATTTAAAACACTATAAGCTGTTCATTCAGTACCTAAGTTTCCTGTACCATCTCCCCCTACATAGCCTGGAACATGGAGGCTATAGTAAGCTTCAACCATGCAGGTGAGGACAACAACCTAAGCAACGGTGTGTCAACAAGAAAGGAACCTGGATCCCTGATGGACCTTGTAGAGCAGAGCTGCCTGACTAGGCTAAACCAGCCATACAAATAGGTGAGAAAGAAACACAAGTCTTCCTTATTTAAGCCATTGGGAGCTCTTAACCTTAACTTAACATTTACTCTAATTCATACATCTAGTTATCAGTCATACATATTCTCCCTTAGGCTTGGGAGTTCATATATCTGCTCCCATTTTTTTTAGTTTTTCCTTGCTCTAAAGGACACTTACTCCACAGCTTTCTTGTAGATTTCGATGGCTTTGTCCAAGTCTCCTGTCAGCAAGTGAATCTTCCCCAGCATAATGTAAGTCAGATCATGCCTGTTAAGATGTAGGGCATGGTGCAACTGGTCTTGTGCCTAACAAAATTGATGAGGTAAAGAGAACAAAATCACCACCGTGAAAGGACAACGGCTCTGTATGGTAAGGTAGAAACAGAGTTCCTGCTGTACTAATGCAGAAGCACCCCATTTCGGCAAATAGCCCCCAAAAAAACAAACTCTACTTGCTGACAGGACAGCTGGAAACATGAAGTATCTGCCTCTGGAGCCACTTGGAAGAGTTTATATAAGATGACTAACCTTTTGAGTGTTTTCTGCTTCTAGAGAATCATAGCCACGGCTCACACTTAGCAAGTCAAAAGGGATGTCACAGTACAGTATACAGCACTGCAGCTGCACCAGTGACCAACTGTACAACCTTTCCCAGAGTGGACCTCATTTTCCTCACCGATATTTTGATAAATGAATGAATGGATTGTTCTCAATTTTCACTCAATGTGTACTCATTGAGTGCCTGCTGTTCTAGTTGCTAGGTATACTAGAGCTAACAAAAATTCCTTGCTCTGAAAAAGCTTAATAGCCTTCCTAGTAGATGGTCAAAGGGGCTTTTTTAAAGTCATTCACTGATTCAACAAGTATTTACATAAATGTCAAGTATTATGTTTGCTCTGTTAGCTTTACACTAAAATCTACACATAATTTCCTTATCCTTTACAGGTCTGACCAAAGACCAACACTGCCCCTCCCTTGACTCAGAATAATCCTGTTAATAGAAATATATTTGCTTGAAATATCCTCTGAAGAGAAAAACCTCCTAACCAAGTATATAACACTATAGATCTGCCTAGAACACCTAAGCGACCCATTAAATATATATGTTTTTATTTATATATTAGTTATTTATTATATATTTCACAGGAATAAAAGTTATTCTCTCACCTCAACTGCTGATGTACAGATTTTTTTTTTTTAATCCTCACCCTAGGATATTTCTCCATTTATTTTCAGACAGAGTGAGAGGGAGAGAGAGAGAAAGAGAGAGAAACATTGATGTGAGAGACACATCAGCTGGTTGCCTCCCACACAACCCCAACCAGGGCCAGGGACCAAACTGTAACCGAGGTACATGCCTTTAACGAGAATCAAACCCGGGACTCCTTAGTCCACGGGCTGACGCTCTAACTGCTAAGCCAAACAGGCCAGGGCTGATATATAGATTTTTTTTCCATACCCCTGAGGGATAGATTAAACTTGTCAAACAGCCCTGGCCGGTTTGGTTCAGCGGTTAGAGCGTCGGCCTGCGGTCCTGAGAGACCTGGGTTCGGTTCCCGCTAAGGGCACGTACTTCGGTTGCAGTTTGTCCCCGGCCCTGGTCGGTTGTGCGGGTGGCAGCCACTCGATGTGTTCCTTTCACATCGATGTTTCTCTCTCTCTCTGTTCCTCTCTCTCCCTCCCACTCTGCTTGAACAAAAAATGGAAAAATGTCCTCGGGTGAGGATAAAAAAATAAAAAAAATAAAAAAAAAAAACTTGTCAAACAGATATTAACCAACTCAGATTCTCAGTTCTGTTGGCAATAGAGAAAGGAGAATAAAACTTTATAATCACTAAGTGGAAACTTTATGAAGGAAACTCTATGCAACTCACTATTGTTGACTTTCAGAGCTCTCAATAATTTAATCTATCCCTCAGTTAAGATACATACATTTTTTTTATATCTGAGTACCAAGGTAAGCTCAAATGTTTAATCTGATATAAGAGCTTTAGAGTCTGCAGCTTAATCACAATGAAATATAAATTCCCACATGGTAAATAACCTTAAGAACTGAAACTCTCAGATATCAGATCCATCTGTAACTTAAAATTCATCTCCAATGACCTTAAAAAATAAAATCAGTTGCTGTCAGAGCATAAGAGAGCTCCCAAGGTCATAATTACACTTTTAAGACTTCAGGGTCCACTTTTTGATATCTAAGTTGTTGTTTGTTTGTTTGTTTTTATCCTCACCTAAGGACATTTTTTTGTTCAGATAGAGTGGGGGAGGGGAGGAAGAGAGAGAGAAACATCTACGTGAAAGGGACACATCAAGTGGCTGCCACCCACATGACCAACCAGGGCTGGAGACAAACTGCAACCAAGGTACACGCCCTTAGTGGGAACCAAACCCAGTCTCTCTGGACAATAGGCTGATGCTCTAACCACCGAGCAAAACCGGCCAGGGCTATTGTTTGTTTTTTTAAAGGTTTTTAGTGGTTTGGTATTTTTTAAATGTGTTTTTATTGACTTTTTAGAGAGAGGAAGAGAAAAATAGAAACACTGATATGAGAGAGAAACATCTCAGCTGCCTCGTGCACGCCCCCTACTGGGGATCAAGCCCACAACCTGGGCACATGCCCTGACCAGGAATTGAACCAGGACCTCACCTCTCAGTCTATGGGACGATACCCAATCCACTAAACCACACCACCCGGGCTGATATCTAAGTTTAATTGAACACTGTTTCTATACTGAAAAATTAAACTGGGGTAGAGAAAAAGAAGAGAGGAGAAAAGTAATTATATTACCATTCCCTCATTATTTTGAGAATTTTTCATTTTCCTGTTAAAAGCAGAAAAAAAAGATGGATAACGACAAATGAGAATAAAAATAGAGATAAATGTATATGACACTTTCAATTTTTACTTCCAAAAATCTCTGCAAGCACTAGGAATAATACAAAATGAGAAATGGCACCTCTGTAACAAGTGTACCCTAGGTGAAATCACCAACCAACTGCTCAACTGCCACCACCACTTCTATCAATTACCTTGTTGAACTGTTTCAGATAAAAGTAGCAAACTCCTAGGTTATGACAGATCTCCTACACATAAAAGAAAGGAGAACAGCTTAGTATAAATTCCATAGTATGTATTAGAGTGAAACAACAGATATCTAGAGACTGTTAATGTTCAGCAAAGTTTAAACTTTAAAATACACACTACAGTACAGTTTTTTACTAGATTTTATACTCAAATATATTTAATTCTAAAAAATTGGTTCCTTAATATTAAAAAAACCGCCACAGATTATAAGAGATAAAAGCAGGACAGAGAGATCACTCCCTTTGTGCCCTCTTCTTAGAAGAGACCACCTACAGCTCCTGCCCCACCCTAAGGAAATATGTATACATATATGTGTTAATTGGATTCTTTTTCCTAGGAATCTAGGAATTCACTAGGTTATGAGGACTTGGAGACTGGCAGCACCATCTGGAGAGCATTATGATGGAATATACATATTTGGACTCGGTCTGCAAATGCAGACAGCAGAGGTCAGCAAACTAAGGCCCACAGACCAAATACATCTCTGCCTTTTTATGTAAATACAGTTGTATTGGTATTGTCTATAATTCTTTCACGCTAGAACCTCAGAGTTCAGGAGTTGCAACAGCGACTATGTGAAGCCACAAAGCTTAAAACATAGCTGGTCCTTTACAAAAAACGTTTGCTAACTGCTGATCTAAAAAATGAAAAAATGAAACAGAAATGCAGAGTAGCTACCTTGGTTGCTGACAGCTCTACAGTTCTAGTTCACTGCAAGACCAACCTGTATTCCCTGACCTTGAGTTCTAAAGACTCTCTTGAATTCTCTTTATTAAATCTCCCTTTATTTAAGGTAGCTTTGCAGGAGTGAGGAACCTTTTTTTCTGCCAAGGGCCATTTAGATATTTATAACATCATTCTTGAACCATACAAAATTATCAACTTAAAAATTAGCCTGCTATATTTGGTCAGGTTAATTTGGTGAGGCGTGTGACATTAGCTGGTACTGATTTCACAGGCCTTATATGGCTCGAGGGCTGGACATTCCCCACCCGTGCTTTAGAGAAAGGAGCATACTTCTAGAGAGGAAAATGGGGTTATTAACAGGAATCGGACTAATAGCAAAATAGCAAACTGCTCAGCAGCAACACTCCCTGCCAGAAAACCATGCAGCAATGCCTGCTAAGTTACACGGAAACATAATTTTTTATCTTTTACCTAGCCAAGAATCATCAATCTAGTGTGAGACATTTTTGGCATGTAAGAATTTAGTAATAACAACAAAAGACAGCCATATGATAAATGGATCCATTAGCATGTTACTAATAACAAAGAACTTGAAGATCCCTACTTACCCAATCTTTCTGGTTAAGTTTAGCCGCTTCATTATATACTTCAGTGGCAGCTTTATGTTTCCCCAAAAGAAATCTGTGGAAGAAATATTGTCTATAATTATTAACTCAAACCTTCTATAAGACTAACTCCATCAGTCCCGCATTTGACTCATTTTCCGTCCAGCTGAGAATTCTGGAAGCCTCTTCCCTATGAGGTGGTTGTGCTGGTTTGACCAGAGAGGCTGCTGGATAACAACAGCAGAAGCTCTCTTGGTAGGGAGAGCTCTGCATTGGTAGCTATTTCAGGGCCTTGGTCCCATTCTATACCAATTTTAGTGAGTCTTCTGTAATTTATTTTCTACAGTGTACTACAAATGTAGACCAAAAAAGAAACAAACTAAATAATATGCCATGTTAAGCAAGAGCTGCTATCATTGATCACCATCATCTTATTAGGGACATGCTCTTCCCTTCCAAGCCTAAATCTCTTTCCTTGATATTGGATCATGGTTCTAGAGAAACAGGGGAGAACCAGGCTCTATGCAAAGAAAGTATAGACATAAATCATAATGTAGGTAAGAAAGTGGGAACCCCATGGAACACTTTACTGGAGTAGTAACGTTATTAGTGTACCTAACAGCTTAGAAAGACTTTGGAGGTCGTTTGCATTCAGGAACCGTCAGGGCATCCCATCAACAAACACTTACTAAAAAGCTACTGTGTGTCAAATATTATGCTAAGTGTTGGATGAGAAAAATTCCATGGGTTGCCAATAAGATTAGGGGACTGAGGACAAAAAAAAGTCACTATTTACATGATAAAGAGCATCAGTATTCCCCTGTAGAACTAGAATACAGTGTTTGAATTATTCAGTACCTCTATGTGGGTTATCTCATTTTGTCAAATGTCAAAGTTAATCTACACTCTTCAAAGTGAATCCCACTATACCTATTAAGCAACTCTCCTTCTATGTATAAGCCTCTGCCTGAGAATGCTCATTACACACCATTTTCTGTGAGTGCCCAGGTTCTCCAGACTGCCAATACTCACAGAGATCTGGCCACCTGCTTGAGGTTATCAGCACACTGAGGGCTGAGAACAGCACATGTCTGAAAGAGTTCTAGGGATTCTTGGATATTTCCTTCCAGACGAAATATTAATGCTGCCGAGAAACAGAAAATAAAGTCATATTCTGGGAAGAATGGAGCCTGATATTAGAAAAATTAGAGAAGCGGGAGGTAAGAAATAAAATCAAAGAAATTCTTTGTATTATTTATCTTCAATACAATCAGATATGACTTCAGATGGATTGAATAAGTAGCAAAGTTGTTGACATGTTAAAATCTTTCTCTCTCTCTCTCTTTTTTTTTTTTTTGGAGACCTAAATGTTTTATTGTAAGAAATACCTTTGATTTGATTAACAAAGAAGATTTCAGTATGATGAGTTATTTACTTTCCATTTTTATTAAGGGAATAAATATGTTCAAGCTTAAAAGAAGGGAAAAAATAGGGGGGGAAGATATTTAAATATTTGGCAATAAGATTATTTTTCAGAGACTCAACGAGGAGGAGGAATATATCCCCTTTAAGTCTGTTAACAGCATTAGCAAATCTTTTGGTTCAGTGATGTCTAAAAGGTGTACATTGGCCTCTCTTTCCTAGTACTGACAGCATCTATAACCTGACCAACTTCACAGGCATTGTTAGGCTTGGCAGACAATAGTTTTCCATAGTTTTCTAGTGGCCCATTGCTTGTGTCCCCCTTCTCAGAAGCAAGGTAGCCGGTACAGACCTCCTCTGAAGTCCTTTCAGGTTCTTCATGGCCTTCATTCACCTCTTGAATCTCAATTTTCCTTCTCTCCTTTCTTTCTTGAATGATGCCATATTATCCTTAATATTAAGGAATCTGGTTACCAGTTCCACCTTTGCCTCAACAATACTTGAGTCTAGTCGGATAACTGTTTGAGACTGTTTAAATTTTTCTGATACTTCTTGAGTCCTTTATGAGTAAGAGCATGTCTACAGCATGATTTCACATTCTCATTATCTGAAGCACCTGATCACAAACCTGCTTTGCTTCTTTAAACTGGCACAGCTTCAAGTAGCAGCTTCTGTTTGTATAAACAGCACATTTCTTATTGTTAATCTTTAAGCATTTACGTTACTTACTAAGGGCATCTTTATAACTTTTGTCCTATATACATTGATTTCCTTCTTTCAGAATTTTAAACATTTTTTCATCTGTGATGCCCAGCTGGGATAGCTGCAGGAATCTCTCACTGGATCTGGGGGCATCTCTGTCGCAGGCCACCAAGCTCACAGTTATACAGAAGTAGGCACAGAAGGAATGGATGACAGCTTCTCCTGCCAGCTCAGTGCATCCAGATCCATTAAAATTCTTGTTCTTCTGTTAACACTGTCACTTACGTTCTGCTTGCAAAACACTTTATAATACTCATAAGCTTTCTGATACTGCTCTAAAGTTTCATAGGCTATTGCTCAGTTGAAAAGAGGTTTGATTGACAATGAAGTTCCAGAGCCCTGTTACAACCTTGAATGCAATCACTGCAGTTTCCTTCCTTTATATAACATGCAGCTCTACTTCAATATAAGATACCTAACATCTTCACTTCCACTTCCTGTAGGCTCCAGCTGCACCTCTGTGAATTGCCCATTTTTGCAACTCTGTGGCAGCAGGCTGTGGACAGAAGTGGGGGAGGGGCAGCAAGCGAACGAGACACAGCCCTCTCTGGCTGCTTGCCACCCTCATTTTTGCCCATCGGCTTCCGGATATTGCTTCCATTGGCTGGGTGACCTCAATGAGAAGTGAATGCAGGAAGCGGGAAATCAAAAGTTTGCACCATTAGACAAATTTCTAGAAACACACAGTCTCCCAAAACTATTCCCGGAAGAGATAGAAAACTTGAACAGACCAATAACAACTAAGGAAATTGAAGAGGTAATCAAGACTCTCCCAGCAAACAAAAGCCCAGGCCTAGATGGTTTCACGGGGGAGTTTTACCGAACATTCAAAAAAGAACTAACACCCATTCTCCTCAAACTATTTCAAAAAATTCAAGAAGAAGGAAGACTTCCAAACACGTTCTATGAGGCCAGCATAATTCTAATTCCAAAACCAGAAAAAGACACTACGAAGAAAGAAAACTACAGGCCAATATCCCTGATGAACATAGACGCCAAAATCCTGAACAAAATACTAGCAAATCGAATCCAGCAATACATCAAAAAAATTATTCACCATGACCAAGTGGGATTCATTCCAGGGATGCAAGGCTGGTACAATATTCGCAAATCAATAAACGTGATACACCACATAAACAAAATGAATAAAAACCACATGATCATATCAATAGATGCTGAAAAAGCCTTTGACAAAATCCAGCATCCATTTCTGATAAAAACGCTCAGCAATGTAGGAATAGAGGGATCATATCTCGACATAATAAAGGCCATATATGAAAGACCTACAGCCAACATCATACTCAATGGACAGAAACTAAAAACATTTCCATTAAGAACAGGAACAAGACAGGGATGTCCACTTTCGCCACTCTTATTTAACATTGTACTGGAAGTCTTAGCCACAGCAATCAGACATGAAGAAAAAATAAAAGGGATCCAAATTGGAAAGGAGGAAGTGAAACTGTCATTATTTGCAGATGACATGATATTGTACATAGAAAACCCTAAAGACTCCATCAAAAATCTATTAGACTTAATAAATGAATTTGGCAAAGTAGCAGGATACAAAATTAACGTCAAGAAATCGACGGCATTCTTGTACTTAAATGATGAACTCACAGAAAGAGAAACTGAAAAAACAATCCCATTTACCATCGCTCCAAAAAAATTACGATACCTAAGAATACACTTAACCAAAGAAGTAAAGGACCTATTTGCAGAAAACTACAGGTCATTGAAAAAAGAAATAGAGGAAGATATAAAAAAGTGGAAGCACATACCCTGTTCATGGATTGGAAGAATTAACATCATTAAAATGTCCATACTACCCAAAGCAATCTATAGATTCAATGCAATCTCCATCAAAATACCAACGACATATTTCATAGAACTAGAACAAATACTTCAAAAGTTCATATGGAACCAAAAAAGACCCCGAATAGCCACAGCAATCTTGAAAAAGAAGAACAAAGTTGGAGGGATCACAATACCAGATATCAGGTTATACTACAAAGCGACTGTAACCAAAACAGCCTGGTACTGGCACAAGAACAGGCATATAGACCAGTGGAACAGAACTGAAAACCCAGAAATGGACCCAAGGCAATACGCTCAATTAATACTTGACAAAGGTGGCAAGAGCATACAGTGGAGTAAAGACAGCCTCTTTAATAAATGGTGTTGGGAAAATTGGACAGCTACATGCAAAAAAATGAAACTAGACCATCAACTTACACCATACACAAAAATAAACTCAAAATGGATAAAAGACTTAAATGTGACCCGTGAATCCATAAAAATTCTAGAAGAAAATGTAGGCAACAAAATTTCGGACATCATACGGAGCAGAATTTTCACTGATACATCACCTAAGGCAACAGAAATAAAGGAGAAAATGAACACATGGGACTACATCAAACTAAAAAGCTTCTGCACAGCAAAAGAAACAATCATCAAAATGGAAAGGCAACCCACTGTATGGGAGAACATCATTGCCAATGATGTATCAGATAAGGGGTTAATTTCCAATATATACAGAGTGCTCATACAACTCCACAAAAGGAAGACAAAGAACCCCCAAAAAAAATGGGCAGAGGAGCTGAATAGACACCTCTCCAAACAGGACATACAAATGGCCAAGAGACATATGAAGAAATGCTCAACATCACTAATCATCAGAGAGATGCAAATTAAAACAACAATGAGGTATCACCTCACACCTGTCAGAATGGCCGCCATCAACAAATCATCAAACAACAAGTGTTGGCGAGGGTGTGGAGAAAAGGGGACTCTAATACACTGCTGGTGGGAATGCAGACTGGTGCAGCCGCTATGGAAAACAATATGGTGCTACCTCAAAAAATTAAAAATTGAACTTCCATTTGACCCAGTGATCCCACTGCTGGGAATATACCCTAAGAAGCCTGAAACACCAATCAGGAAGAATATATGTACCCCCATGTTCATAGCAGCACTATTTACAATAGCTAAGATCTGGAAACAGCCCAAGTGTCCACCAGTAGACGAATGGATCAAAAAGCTGTGGTACATGTACACAATGGAATACTATGCAGCGGTAAGAAAGAAAGATCTCTTATCCTTTGAGACGACATGGAGGGACCTGGAAAGTATTATCCTAAGTGAAAGAAGCCAAGCAGAAAAAGACAAATACCACATGATCTCACTTATATATGGAATATAATGAACATAACAGTCTGAGGAATACAGTAGACCCAGACACATGGAAGTAGGGCACAGACTGACATCCCTCAGAAGAGGGGATGGGGGGTGGGGGGGTGGGAAGAGATAAACCACAGAACTTATATGCATGTATGCATGACCAATGGACATGGACAACTAAGCCGGGGACAGGGTGGAGGGGGGTGGGGTGGGGGGTGCCAATGGGGTAAAAAGGTAAAATATCTGTAACAAAAAAATAAATAAATAAATAAAATTCAAAAAAAAAGTTTGCACCATTAAAAAAAAAGGACCTCAGTCCCGCTGGTGTGGCTCAGTGGATTGAGCATTGTTCCATGGACTGAAAGGTCCCAGTGCAATTCTGATCACGGCGCATGCCGTGTTGTGGCCTCAATCCCCAGTGGGGGTCATGCAGGAGGCAGTCGATCAATGTTTCTCTCTCACATCAATGTTTCTATCTCTCTCTCCCTTCTTCTCTCTCTAAAAAAATTCAATAAAAACATTTTTCAAAATAAAAGGAGAAAGGACCTCAGTACCATGGGGCATTCTGTGCAGAGGCGCAGCCAGGCTAAAATTTTTTAATAAGGTGCCTTAAACTTACCTAACCCCTCCACTCCCAGCATCCACCACACAGATAATCAGTGCCTTGCAAATTATCTCATAAACTACATATAAACATTCTTGAGTTTCCCCATCAGATGCGCTATTTATCATGATAATTCATAATTCAGTTTTCAAAGAGTCCCCCAAATGGGACGAGCAATCAATACCCCATGTCCAACATGGAGATTCTGGACAAAAAAAAGGCAGTAATATTCAGACTTGGTTATCAGTATAGCAACCAATCAGAATCAATATATTTTCCTAGACCTAAGTTTTCAGAAGAACTTATATGCTTAAGTATTATGAGGCACTGAAAGTCTGGAATTTGTGATACTGGGAATAAAATAACTTTTTTTTTTGCCATTATGTCCTAGATGTGTCAATATCTTACCAATTATGTCAGAAAATTATATTCGAATCTGAAGACCACAAATGCAATGAGTGGTCAACAAAACAATTCATCTATACAAAAAAGTCAAAAAGAAAGTTCATGGAAAAACTAAGGATACAATTTTTGGCACTAAAGAATAGAATTTCAGGCAGTGTTTTCTATATTTGGTTTCCGATGAATTTCATTTATTCTCTGCTTTATCCTATATATCTCTAGGCTTCTTCCCTTCATTCTGACTCACCTTACTAAAAATCCTCAAGTCTTTCCTCATCTCTTTTAGCCCTTTCAAAAGCCTCTTCTGGGCCTGAAACTGCTGTACAAGTAGGGACCCTAACATCCATTCTGAAAAACACTAGCCAGAAAGTAGAAAAGGCGTGAAGAATAGTAGCAATTTTTTTAACAAAACCAGTCATTTCAGAGGTCAAATCTAGCAAAATAATTATTTTCTGATTTCAAAAACCAACACTGAAAAAAGACCTCTATGACACACTTACTTGAATTTAAGCATTTCATAAGCTGTTTGCTCTTTTTTTCCAGAACCCAGGCAAAATATGCATTCTTCTAGCAAGAAGAGAAGAAATATATATCTTACCTTGGACATAGATAGCATATTCACATAGCCCCTGGGTTTCCTGAAGCTGTTCTTTGATAACAGCCTGCAACAGAAAGAAAAATACTTCTGAGGAGTGGTTAAGTATCTTCAAATGTTTTTAAGAAAAGGTAGACACGGACAAGAAGCAGATGTAAGAATCCAGGATACTAATAATTACTAATAAAGTAGTTAATTCAGATTTTTAAAAAATCTCAACTCTCTTATTATGACCATTTATTTTCTCATAGGTGTTAGCAAACTATAGCCACAGGCCAAATCTAACCTACATAGCCTACTTCTGAACAGCTCTCATAATTTTAAAGGGTTATTAAAAAAGAAAGAGAATATTAAGCTTATAAGACAGACACTGGACCCTGGCCGGTTTGGCTCAGTGGTTGGACCAGAGAGTCCCGGGTTCGGTTCCTGCTAGGGGCATGTACCAAAAAAAAAAAAAAAAGACAGAGACTGGCCAGGCCGGTGCGGCTCAGTGAGCATCAACCCATGCACCAAAAGGTCACCAGTTCGATTCCTGGTCGGGGCACATGCCCAGGTAGTGGGCCCGATCCCCAGTGAGGAAGGATACAGGAGGCAACCAATCGATGTTCTCTCTCTCATCGATGTTTCTATCTCTCTCTCCCTCTCCCTTCCTCTCTCTAAAATCCATGAAGAAAAAAAAATTAAATTAAAAACCACAATCTTAGAAACATTACAAATCTCTGAATGCCAAAAAAGACAATACCAAGGATGTATTTTACATGTTAATACTATTTTCTGCCAGTAAGTATGCAATATACGGTATGTTATAAAGATACACACAGTTTAGAGGAAAGGAAATACAGATGGTTTTGGAATATATAAATGATGATCAAGCTCACCAGAATAAAAGAACTGTAAAATAAAACTCAGTAAAATACCATTTTTCACCTATCCAGAGATCAAGAAGTGAAATACTATGCTGTGTTGAACATCTGCCCTCCACTATGAGATTAACAAGTCCCACAGAATGATTGCCCCTTCAGCCTGGTCCTGAAATGAGAAGACACGTGAAACATACCTGAACCTGACCCACAACTTGTAGTCCAACCCAGCCAACCCACAGCCAATACAAAGGGCCATGAGCAATGAACAAATGTCTGTTGTTGGAGGCCACTAAAATTTTGAGGTTGTTTGTTAAGCAGCATTATCATAGCAGAAGCTAACAAATACATCAAGTGTGGGGAAAACAATAATTCATACATTAGTGGGATAGAAACTGTGACAAACTGTGTGACAGACACTGTTATTTGCCTAACCAAAGTCTGTCTATCATTCAGTCTCTCACCTTGCATCCTTCATAATCCTTCCGGATATAATGGAGATGTATCAACCAGTTCTTCTTCTCTAAAATAGGAAACTCTGGAGCTGGGCAGCACATTTTGACAAAACAAACAACACAGTTATTGTTGGGTTTTCTCTTTAATCACTGTCCTCATGTTTAAACTAACCATAAGCATTTTGCAATATCACATTAAATTCTTCAGCTGTTTACCATAAGAATACAGTGAATCTGCCCTGGCCAGTTTGGCTCAGCGGTTAGAGTGTCAGCCCACAGACCAGAGTTCTGGGTTCAGTTCCCACTAAGGGCACGTACCTCGGTTGTAGTTTGTCCCCGGCCTCGGTTGTGGGTGGCAACCAGTCGATGTGTCTCTCTCACATCCATGTTTCTCTCTCTCTTCCCCCCTCTCTCCCTCCTGCTCTATCTGAAGATGGATGCAAAAAATGTCCTCGGGTGAGGAGGAAAAAAAAAAAAGAATACATTGCATCAAAAATATATTGACTAGGGGAATGGGAGTGGGATGGGAGGTAAATAGGAGGAAAAAGGGGGAATGGGGGGACATCTGTAATACTTTCAACAATGAAGACAAATTAAAAAAAAATCTTAACAGTTTGAATAATGCCCAAAAAAAGTAGAGACTATTAAATTAAGAGATACAACATTAAATATATGTTTCCTTCACTTTTTGTAGCTTATAATGTTAGTTTTTCAAATGATAAGTTGGTCTAAAAAAATAAAATCATTCTTTGTCTCTTCTCCTTTCTCACTCTCCCTAGATATAAAAGGTAAATATGAAGACTTTCTAAAGGATATTTCAGGAATCATATCAACAACAACAAATATTATCACCTCACACCTGTCAGAATGGCCACCATCAACAAATCATCAAACAACAAGTGTTGGCGAGGGTGTGGAGAATAGGGGACTCTAGTGCACTGCTGGTGGGAATGCAGACTGGTGCAGCCACTATGGAAAACAATATGGTGTTAACTCAAAAAATTAAAAATTGAACTGCCATTTGACCCAGTGATCCCACTTCTAGGAATATAGCCTAAGAAGTCTGAAACACCAATCAGGAAGAATATATGTACCCCCATGTTCATAGCAGCACTATTTACAATAGCTAAGATCTGGAAACAGCCCAAGTGTCCATCAGTAGACGAATGGATAAAAAAGCAGTGGTACATATACACAATGGAGTACTATGCAGCTGTAAGAAAGAAAGATCTCTTATCCTTTGAGACGACATGGAGGGACCTGGAAAGTATTATCCTAAGTGAAACAAGCCAAGCAGAAAAAGACAAATACCACATGATCTCACTTATTTATGGAATATAATGAACATAACAGTCTGAGGAATAAGGTAGACCCAGAAACATGGAAGTAGGGTACAGAATGACAACCCTCAGAAGAGGGGGTGGTTGGGGGAGGGAAGAGATAAACCACAGAACTTATGTGTATGTATGCATAACCAATGGACATGGACAACAAAGCCGGGGATGGGGTGGAGGGGATGGGGAGGAGGGTGTCAATGCGGTAAAAAGGGAGAAACATCTGTAACAAAATAAAATTAAAAAGAAAAAGAAACAATAACAAATATATAGTCACATCTGATCAGAGAACCAAAAATATTTTATATAGTTAAACAGTCTAGCAATAGCTCAAATGTGACTCCATGGCCCAGGAGTGAAAAAAAAAATCTATTTGAGTCATTAAAAATGATTCATAATAGAAAAACCATAAAATAAGTTATATGCCCTTTGAATTCAAAAGTTTTTAAAAAATAGGTAAAAATTTATTAAGAAATTACTCTTCTATGGTAACAAGGAGAAGGATTCATATCAACCTCAGGATAGTGGTGACCTCAAGAAAAGGAGAGGGAGGAACAGGATTAGAAAAAGATAAAATAGAGACAGCTCTGTCCTGGCCGGTTTGGCTCAGCGGTTAGAGCATCGGCCTGCGGTCCGGAAAGACCCGGGTTCGGTTCCCGCTAAGGGCACGTACCTCGGTTGCAGTTTCTCCCCTGCCCTGGTTGGTTGTGCGGGTGGCGACCACTCGATGTGTCCCTTTCACATCGATGTTTCTCTCTCTCTGTTCCTCTCTCTCCCTCCCACTCTATCTGAACAAAGAATGGAGAAATGTCCTCGGGTGAGGATGATAAAAAAAAAAAAAAAAAATAGAGACAGCTCTTTAATGCTTTATTTCTCAAAAAAGTAAAGAGCATAAAAGTATATATGGATAGATATTTTTATTTATTGAATTTGGCCAGTGAGTAGTACATGAGTGTTTCTATATATATATCTATATATTTTATGTTGTTGTTGTTCAGATAGAGTGGGAGGGAGAGAGACATCAACATAAAAGGGAAACATCGAGTGGCCGCCACCCGCACAACCCAAACAGGGCAAGGGACAAACTGAAACCGAAGCACACACCCCTAGCGGGAACCGAACCCAGGTCTCCCTGAACCGAAGGCCAACGCTCTAACCACTGAGCAAAACCGGCAGGGCGAGTGTTTATATTTTTTAATGTACTTTAAATATATGTTTGAGATATTCCCTGATTTTTATAAATGTAAAAGAAAGGATACAGCAGGGGAAAAGAGGGAAATGATTTGTAATCACTCTGTTCCTGAACCTTAGAAGATACATCAACAGAAAAACTAAGACTTGCCCTGGCCTGTTTGGCTCAGCAGTTAGAGCATCAGCCTGCGGTCCAGAGAGACCCAGGTTCAGTTCCCGCTAAGGGCACGAATCTCAGTTGCAGTTTGTTCCCAGTCTTGGTTGGTCGTGTGGGCAGCAACCACTCGATGTGTCCCTTTCACGTCAATGTTTCTCTCTCTCTCTCTTCCTCTCTCTCCCTCCCACTCTATGTGAACAAAAAAAGAAAAATGTCCTCGGGTGAGGATAAAAAAAAGAAAACCTAAGACTTATGTGTCCATAACATGACAAGAAGAAAAGCGTACTGTGACCCAGAGTTAATGTTGCTGGAACACAAAAGTTAACAAGTGATGTTGCGACCAATAAAACTTTCAGTCAGGATGGCGAGTATGTAAATGTGGCATTGCGTCCTCCCACAACCACATCAAAATTATAACTAAACTACAACACAACCATCATTTAAAACCGCGTGAAATCAAGCTGAATGAAGTCCTACAACTACGGAATTAAAGAAGCAGCCACATCGAGACCGGTAGATGGGGCAGAGGCAGACGGGCTGGTCCCTCACCCACATGTGGTGGAAAAAAATTAGAAAGATACGTTGGCTGGAAAGGTCCTCCCTGAAGACTGAGGGGTCCCTGTCCCACACCAGGCGCCCAGCTCAGGGTTACAGTGGCAGGAAAAGAAGTCCCCATAACTTCTGGCTGAAAAACCCTGCAGGAACTGAGGCTGAGGAAGGCTGAGGCGGCTGGAGCCCCATAAAGGGCCCCGTGTACTAACTTACTCGGACTCACGCCCTCTAGGCTCCAGCATGGGGGAGGCAACTTGAAACAGACCAGAGACATACAGGGAAGAACTGAGTTGTTTGGCATTGGGGCGAGGGCTGGAGAGGGGGCTTTCTCCTGGACAGCTGTGCTGTCAGAGGCCTTTGTTCCTTTGGTGAGCCCTTCCCTGGGGCGACAGACAGCCGCCATATCTGGGACTCCAGCAACCTGGCTCACACTGGTTGCCCCACCCTGGTGATTCCCTAAGGCCCCGCCCCACCCAACTTTCAGGCCCACCCAAGCTGTTGCCAGTTGTTCTACCATAGGATTGGCCTGTCTTGGATCCTGCTTCAGATTTTCCTAAATTCTTTCAAACAAGTAGCATCTGGTCTCAGCTAGCCCCATATTTCTTGTTAAGTAATACATGGAAACAAACACAGGGAAGCAGCCAAAACAAGGAGACAAAGAAACAGGTCCTAAATAAAAGAACAACAAAACTCTAGATAAAGAACTAAGTGAAATGGAGATAAGCAACCTAACAGATGCTGAGTTCAAAACACTGCTTATAAGCATGCTCAACAAATTTAGTGAGGGCCTCAAGAGCATAAAAAAGGACCAGTCAGAAATGAAGGAGGCAGCAAATGAAATAAAGAATAATTTACACAGATTCAATAGTAGAGTAGGTAAAGCCAAGAAGCAAACTATCGATTTGGAATATAAGGAAGCAAAAAACACCCAATCAGAACAGCAAAAAGAAAAAAGAATCCAAAAAAATGAGGATAGTGTAAGGAGCCTCAGGGACAACTTCAAGCATACCAACATTAGCATCTTGGGGGTGCCAGAAGGAGAAGAGAGAGAACAAGAAATGAAAAACCTATTTAAAACAATAATGGCAGAAAACTTCCCTAACTTGGTGAAGGAAACAGACATACAAGTCCAGGAAGCATAGAGTCCCAAACAAGATGAACCCCAAGAGGCCCACACCAAGATACATCATCATCAAAATGCAAAAGGTTCCAGACAAAGAGAGAATCTTAAAAGCAGCAAGAGGAAAGCAGTTCGTTACCTACAAGGGAGTTCCCATAAGACTGTCAGCTGATTTCTCAAAAGGAACTTTGCAGGCCAGAAAGGAGTGGCAAGAAATATTCAGAGTGATGAAAAGCAAGAACCCACAACCAACATTACTCTATCCTGCAAAGCTGTCATTTAGAATGGATGGCCATACAAAGAGTTTCCCAGACAAGGAAAAGCTAAAGGAGTTCATCACCACCAAACCATTATTATATGAAATGTTGAAGGGTCTTCTTGAAGAAAAAGATAAAAAATATGAACAAACAAAATGGCAATGAATACATATCTACTGACAATTGAATCAACAAACAAAATGAACAGGCAGAGCAGAAGCATTCTTAGATACAGAGAACATTTTGTTGGTTGCCAGATGGGAGGGGGGTTGGGAGAATGGGTGGAAAAGGTGAAGGGATTAAGAAGTACAAATAGGTTGTTAGACCAACAAAGCTCAAAGGGAAGGGGTGGTGGTGGTGGGAAGAGATAAACCAAAGAACTTATATGTATATATGCATAACCAATGGACACAGACAACAGTGTGGGGAAAGCCAGGAGGGGGGTGGGGATGAGGAGGAGAGGGACAATAGGGGAAAA